CTCCGGCTGCTCCCGGGGGCGGCGCAGCTGCAGCTGAAAAGCTGAGAATCAGCAGCTGCGCCAAACAGGCCCTTAAACTACAAATATTTTCGTAGTATTAAAATTCAAATCTTTTTGATATTTTTGATATTTTTACATAACATAAATAATTAAAAAGATAACTTGAGTTTATGTAAAAGAAAAGCACTAAATTTGATAAATATCTTTCTCCTTATCATGAATCAGTAATAAGTATAGGAAATATCAGTAATAAGTATAGGAATTCTATTGTGGAAGTATGTAAATTGTGTTGTGCCAAATATGAGCAATTATATTTTTTACCCTTACTAGAGATGTAATAAAAAATATTGTCTAATTTAAAATTTGAATAGTTCTGAAGATCGGTTAGGCATGGAAGATACCAGCTCTCACGCTAGAGTTTCATTGATTCCCTTCATTTGGGGGATAACATCTCGTATCAGAACTTAAAACAATAAACCAAGTTGGGGGGCTTTAAGCTGTCACTTTAAAGTCCTTTAACTCTACACCCTTCAATGATTATTTCTTTATTTATTTGCACTAAATTATATGAATTACATTCTCATTCATACAACCTCATGTGATTTTTTCCAATTGTTGACTGAGACAATACCAGCCCGTCTCTTACATGTTTTCACAACAAATTTTAACATCTGGATAGGCCAAATCAAGAGGTAAATGAAGTTCATGGATTTAAATCATCACAACTTCTTCCAACATTAAAGATAAATACTCTCCACAACTTCCATTCAAAATCTAATTACTTATCATTTTAAGGAGAAAGATAAAGAAAACTACTCAGAATTCGTGGAGAAAACAAAATCACACTTTAGTTTAAAAGTAGAAATCATTGTCAAACGAACAAGAAGTCTCGATTAAAATCAAAAGTAGTTTAAAACAAAAGATAAAAACTTATCTCAAATCCTCCACCAAACTCTTGAAGTAACTTTGAATCTCTTCTCTTTTACAACACTCTTAACTCTCAAAATAAAACTAAAAACACAATGAAAAAGTAAATTTTGTGGTGCCTGAATCTCTCCTCAAGATTCTCCACGATCTTCTTCTCAGGACTCCAGCACTCTCTCCATCTTCAAGCACCCCTCTTCAAGTGTAAAAACTCTCTTATTTTATAAATCTCTAAGAGGTGTCGTGATAACTCTTCAAAATGTGTCTAAATTTGATGTATTCTCCAAAGGATGCATCCTTTCACAAGTCTTTTAATAATGTTTTTGTTCCTAGTGATCATAACCACCCTGTTTAGCCAATAGGTGCCTCAAATATCTCTTCAAAATTCGACCAAATGAAGAAAACAACCAAATAATTACCTCTAGCGCTTAAGCGCAGGGCCTCTGGAACTTAGGCTCAGCCTTCTCTGTTTAACCGGTGCTTAAACGCCGGATCTGACGCTTAGGCGCCAAAACACTTTAACACAATTTTCATATTTTTGCTCCAAAGTTGATCATTTCTAACTTCTTTTAGCATTTTTCACCTTTTTTACTTGTACTTGAAAGAAAAACACACAAATACCTTCCATTAAAGTGCAATATCTCAAAAATATGTATAAAAATGTATCTAAAAACACTATATATTTTAGGTGTATCAGTGGTCGACGATAATTAGGGTTGTAGGAGCAGGATAAATTTGGCAAATCTTCGATGTAGGGACGTGTTGAGCTTCAGTTCCTTCTTTTACAAGCTTTGGTCTTCTTTTGGCTCCATATTTAAATCCCCTCTCAAGAGAGGGTAGGGCTCTATTTATACAGTGTTGAAGAGACATCTCTAAAAATAAGAAAGAAATTCATATCGCTTCATTGAACGACCTAGAGAGATTCCCTAGATTATAAAGTGTCTGTTAAATATTTAAGTGCCCCAATCATATAAAAAAAAAGCAAAGTCGAGCTCGTTGGAAGTTTCACCGAGCCATGCAATTCAACTATAAGCTTCTCATATTTGAAATCTGTTTGATTTTTTAATTATGTACTTAAAGCTTTCAAATAGCTTGAGTTGAGTCATATCATACCAATTTTGGTACCCTTGGGTTTGTCTCGCCAAGTAGGCTTGTTTGACCACAATTTAATGAAATCAAAGTTTTGTATAATTTTTAATCGAAATTTGAATATTCTTTGATTAAAAAGTCACATCGAGCTTCGTGTTGTGCCTTGAGATCCATGCAAGATGATGAAAATTTATTGATAGCGTATCAAACACAAAACTCCATAAGTATTTGAAATTCTTCAATTCATATTTCCTGAAATTACAAAATTAAATGCTTATTAAAAATATTGGAATTTATTAGTGATAGAAATAGTAAGTAAATAAAAAACTAAAGACCCAGAGTCAACATAAATAATTGCACATAATCATCCACTATAAGAAGGTTGGGGACCTATAAAGAAAGAAATCTTGTATATGTTAAAAAAAAGCGACTTAAAGATCATCAAGAAGAACCCCAAGTTTGTATTACTACTCATAACCTCTTGAATAAAAATATTGATTACAACTCCAAATTCAAATCATTGATATAACATATATGAAGAAATGATTGTCACTTTGGAGATATTGTTACTTATCTCATTATTAGTTTGACATTCTTGATCTCTCTACTAACATGTTTTTCAAAACAAACTACCTTTCTGTAATAATAAAACAAAGTTACATCACTATAATGAGGGGAACATATTACTTCACTCTACAAATAATATTCATTAGAGTGAGAGAGAACCACTAATCACATTCACACTAGCCATATTCGCCTAATCCAAACATGAAGCTCTCCTCCTGAAAACGATATATGCTTGAACACCATAAGATTCTCGACAATTACATACTCAAAAGAATAAATAACTCTCAACATAACTTCATAGCAAATCAGACTAACATCATAATTTCACACATGACATAACTTTAAAAGTAGGCGGATAATACTATAATAGTAAAAATATCAATTTTTATACTTTTAAAATAGCATGCACCATGCAAAGTAGTGGGTCGACCGAGTCGGGCAGGCAAGCTCTCTTGGCCTTCCTTTCCTTGAAGCCCTCTTCATTGGCCTCTCCAAGCTCACCAAGAAGCCTCCTCCAAAGCCTCTCCAAGCTCTCCCCAAGAGCTTTTGCTCAACCCTAGTCGAAGCAGAAGAGAGAGAGCCCCCATCAAGGGAAAATGGGAGCCTGACGAAAAATGAGAGGGGGCCTTAGGCTAATCCCCTCCTCCACCATTCGTGTGGTCTGTATGTAACTTTCTTTTCTAATTTTTAATGTACTATAAAAGAAGCAAGTTTATAAATATAAAGTAAAAGTTAGATGTTAGACATGTAAACAGATAGGGGTTGGGTGTTTGGTGTTATGCTCGTAAATGCCCTAAGAAAAAAACTATCATGAGAAGAGGCAATTTCAGTGGCAATAAATATGAAATAGCTACTCATGGGATAATTAATATATAGAATGTATAATTAATAAAAATTAAATAACCTAATCATTATGTGTAATCATATTAAATCAATTTAAATAATAGATTTTTATATGCCAAACATTCAAAATAATTACTATAATATATTAATTATTTATTTTAAATATAATATTTTTATTAATTTTTGTATTATATTAACATAGTGAAAATTTCGAGTGTTTAAAATATTAAATTCATATTTTAAATTAGAATCGTTACATTGTTATATTAAATAGATTCGGTGATTAATAAAAAAAGGTTAAGCCGGTCATATTTTTAATGAGACCGAAATCTTGTTCCTGCTCTTTCGTCCAATAAAACGTAAGCTTTATCCATCCAACGGTCGTGATATAAGGACTTATCTACACGCGGATCACTAATACATCCAACGGTTGAAAGTGCTTTGGCAAAATACTATAAGATGACAGATTCCTGCAGTACCCTAAAGACAGGAACAGAGAAAAGCGAGAGCAAGAGGGATGTCGGGTAGAGGAAAGGGAGGAAAGGGGCTCGGCAAGGGAGGAGCCAAGCGGCACCGAAAGGTTCTGCGTGACAATATTCAGGGAATCACAAAGCCAGCGATTCGCCGCCTAGCTCGCCGTGGCGGTGTGAAGCGTATCAGTGGTCTCATCTACGAAGAAACCCGTGGAGTCCTCAAGATCTTTCTCGAAAATGTCATACGCGATGCTGTCACCTACACGGAGCACGCCCGCCGGAAGACCGTAACCGCCATGGATGTCGTTTATGCGCTCAAGCGCCAGGGTCGTACTCTCTATGGCTTTGGTGGTTAGAGTTTTTGTTTTCAAAGATCTGATTAGGTTCTCCCCATTTCGTGTAATGGATATCATTTTGTGTTAAATTTGTTTGCCTTTTTTATGTTGTTATTCTATCAAATGGATTTCTGAGCAAGAACACTTTCGCTTCATTTCTGACATTTTTCTGTTGATTTTTTTTTTTAAACTCGAGATGCACGAAATCGTGGCATATGGAAGATTTTTTGGCTAAAGAGTTGATCGTCATGTTGCCGGTATTTATTTTTCATTAAGCTATTTGTTATAATTTATAGTACTTGTTGGATTATATATCTCATATAAAAATCAAATCCATTGTGTTAATACTAAATTTATAACACTATTTATGCCAAACAACAGTTAAAACTTTTTTTAGGATTTAATCTAAGGTTGTGCTTAATCCATGTTTACATGATTTAGTAAATCCTACTGAACTAAATCTCTGAAGTTGCCAAGCAGCATCTAATTGTTCTCCTTCCTGCATGCATTTTGTCTGTCTCACTAGCCTTTTTGTTTGTTGTCTCTTTTTCTGTCTGTCCCCTTCAAAACATTGATCTCTTCGCTTCTCTGTTATATGATCCTTTTCCAGATTTTTCATTTTGTTGCAACGAAATCAATATTCTCCCTATCAGGTATGTAATTCATAATGCTTATTCATCATAAAACTTTAGCAAGTAATTAATATTCGGTTTGTTTGTAGTTTAACTGTTTAAATCAAGTTAAATTTTATTTGAATTGCATAATTTTAACAAAATTGTAATTTGTTCTATATTTTAGATCGAAGATTGCAATTGCCATTAGATTGACTAATTTGAAGATCAATCCGATCAAACAATCAAATTCTTACATGACCTGTAACTTTTACAAAATTTATTTTTCATTTAGTTAATCGAATTCTTAACCTTAATTTCTAAGCTTGAGCAGGTTGTCATTTATTGAGTGATTTATGAATTCATTGAATAGCGTTTGTTCGAAACTCCAATTCAAGTGCCTATGATAGAAGTCATTTTAAACATAATTCAACTGTCTAGGATTTTCTAATTTTTCTTTTGGAAGAGTATATTGATGCCTTGTTTGTCAAGATACCCCTATCTTATTGTTATTAATTCCTATTCCTCTTCTATTGAAATGTTTTGAATAAATTTCCAATATTTGACACACGTTGCCTGTATCTTGATTCACCTTTTAAAGTAAAAAATGCTAAAACTTTGAATAAAAGTAATATAGAGATTTGATTTTAGTAAATTTATAATCAAATTGATTGGTTTGACAAAGGCAGACATAATGATCTAAGATTAGTTTAATTTGAGCTAAATTAAGTTCTGATTAAGTCGTTAAATTGTTTATGGAAGTTTTTTTAGATATATTTTGGAAAGTTTGATTGATGTCGAATTTGATGAATTTATAGTTGATAGAAACAACGTAACAAATTGAATTTCATTCCGGTTATTGATTGAGAAGTACAACTTCAAATTATTTTATTTGAGGAAAAAATTGACCTCTAAACTTTTAATTTTATTCTATTAAAATTTTCATGTTGCTTTAAATTAAATTGTCATATCAATGAAAATTTATATTTTTTTGACCAAATGTTTTAGTATAAAAAGTCTCTTTGAGAAGTCAAGCGGTAGACAAGACTTGATGGGATGATATGATATTCGTGGAAGTCATCCAAGAGATAAAACTCAATGGGAAGCTATCGTTCCCCTTGGAAGTCTAGCATAAGTGGCATTACTTGATAGGATGTATGCACAAATATTGGAAGGCATAAACTTATTTTAGAAGGCTACAAGCTTTATAAAACATAAGTACATCAAATATATTGGAAGACTATAAACCTTAAGAGACAGATATATCAAAGATCTCAAAATGTTATAAAGTATGAGGATGCATGGATACATCAAATACCTCAAAAAGAATTGACGCATTTCAAGCTCTTAGAAGGCATAAACTTAAGAATGTACAGACCTCAAAAGATACACATTCAAGTGAATACCAATCTCAGAAAGCATGAGTATGAAAATATACATAATTCTTTTTTATAAAGTTCAAGTGCTCTTTAATTGCATAATTTCACTTGATTGAGAAGTCACAACAACCTTAAACGTAACGTCAAAGACATACAAATAGACACATCATCGTAATATACAAATGTTAAATCAAACAATTGAAAAATTACAAAGATACATGTATGAGGGGTATAATAAATGACCTCATTTTCGAGAGTGGAATTAGCTCACATTCCCAAATTGTAGTACTAGATATTGCCACTATAAAACTAATACAATTTGAATCAATTTCTAATATCCAACATGAATCTCGAGATGTTGCACAGATCATGATACACCTTTTTAGGCAAGATATTTAAATTTTGATTAAAAATCATCTAAAACTCCAATTTTAACAAACTTACAGTCAAATTTACCAACTTGACGATAAAGACTAATAAAAACAAATTCGTTTAATCTGAGTTAAATCATGCCCCAATCAAGCCATTAAGCCTATTTTGGAAGCTTTTTGAACACATTTGAGAGGTCTAATAGACGTCGAATCTGACGAATTCAAATTTTATCATTTGAATCGAGCGTCTCTACAAGACGATCCAACGAGCCTAAATTTGCTTAATTCTGATATCCTTAATGTACTCAAATGCTCATCAAACGTCGTATGATCAAATGAAACTCTCTGGATAGTTCGATTAAAGCGATTTAGATTCCATCATTAATTACGACCGTGACTTTATAAATAGAAGCCTCACCCCTCTATTGGGAGGGGAGGAAAGTTTGAAGCTTGGGGAAGAGCTTGAAGTTTTGAGAATAAGGTGAAGTCCAGCACCACTCGTGTCACCGCTCAACGCCTTCAATCACTACTTGTGAGCCACCACCGATCATTGTCAATTGTTGCCCATTCCTTGCAAGAAGTTCATCAACACGTTGATGTTATAATTCAAAAGACTTTATAGCGTTTTCTCACATGTGAGACACAAGATCTCTATAATCAACTTATAATAAATTTTTACAATTAAGCTAGAGCTCATGATTTTTTTTACAGGTTTTGCATGTAAAAAAATTTTGTTATCACCACTAATTATTTTTTTTTATCCGAATGTGTACTGAATTTTCGTGCTATGCTAAATTGATAATCCATTACTCTTAACATCACAATGATAATCCATTTTCTAGAAAGCATCAACTATAATAATAATATTGAGTTGTTTTTTATTCACTACCAAGATGAATTCTCGTCATGTTGAGACATACTAATTTGTTGAGCTTGAAGATGAATAATCGGCCTTATTCTAAGTGTTAAATAGGTATGTGCACATTGATTGAGTGGTCCGTATGTAAATTTTTCTCTTTTCTTTTCTAAAATAACGTACAATTTGAAACTTTTCAAGCTTTAGGGTCTGTTTAGGGCAGCTTATAAGTGCGGCGGCATTTTTAAAACCGTTTGATTTGTGCGTTTTTGAAAACGTTATCTGCCGCATTTATGTTTTTTACACTAAACGCAGACCTCGAGTTGACCCCCGCGTTCAACCCGCTGGCCATATTTCAAGATAAACTGCTTATCCTGAAACGCACAAGCTGTTTTAAACATACCCTAAGAAGTTAAGCTATAATACCTTCACAATGCATTTCTACGTAAAGCACCTCTTGCCAAACTTTAATTATTATTAATTACCTTCAAATTAACGTCCAGATACGATCTCCTCATGAATAAAAAAATTAATTAACAAATTAAAAATATTATTTATATTAAAATATTAAGTTAAAAAAATTAAAAAAAAAGTAACTAGTAAAAAAAAGTTTTAGGCAAACAAACAATTATTAATTGTTTTTTCAATTAGTCAGTGAAATTTTGATATTTTTTTATTTATTCAAACTTTTTTTTTTCAAAAATTTTACATTTTATATAAAGAAATATCTAAAACTTTAAAATTCTAAAATAAAAGTAAAAATATTCTTTAATCTTAGTCTTTTTTATTAAATAAAATAATGAGCAACTTTTTTGAAAAAAATAAAGTTTAAAATTTTAAAATAAAAGTGTAAATACTTAAAAAATATGTTCTATATTTTAATAATTATTTTATTAAATTTTCATATTTTTAAAAATGATTAACACTACTTTCCCAAAAGTTAATCATTTCTATAAAGAAAATAACTATAATTTTAAATTTTGAAGGAAAAAAAAACCCTTACTTCTTTTTAATTATTTTTGATAAATACCGTTTTAATTAAAATTAATATGGAGATCCACCATATTAGTAGGGTAAAATAAAATATATTAGTGAAGCATCTCCTCCATTATTAAGACCTATGTATATTAGTGAAATTACTAATCTAAATTGTTAGCACTTGTGACTAAAAAATAAAACTAGTAAAATTACATTATTACAAACTTATAGTCAAATATATACATGCCACCCAAACCTAAATAATTTTTTTTGTATAAATAATATTTGAATTACAACAAATAGATTATGAATTAATTTCGGCAAAAAAATTTTACAAGAGGATCAAACATCACTTCAGTCGAGAGGCGCCATGGTCGAGCAAACCTCCTACACAAAAACTCCTCTTTAAGATTTAAAGAGACTCATTGATCTGACTTGGCATGCGCCTTAAAGAGCATGTATTTCTCCCGAACATTTAACAGTGCATGGCGAATATCCTCTACCTCCTTACAAGCCAAAAACTCACACATTTCCTCAACTTGCCAGATCCATACCGACCAAGTTGAGGAACTTTTAATTTTGCCCACACGTCGAGCCATTGGATGTCTGGAACCCATCAAGAGTTTCCTCGCATATCTCAAAAGGATTATTAGGGTGATCAATTTCCCCATTGTAGCCATCCTTGCTCGAGAGCTAACCACCTTCACCCAGCACTTGGCCCACGATCATTAGCGCCCCATTCAGACCCTCCTCTAGATCTATTGAGCGAGATTATTGCACCAAGAATCAACGTAGAAGAAAAAAAACTTGAAAAATCAAACAAGCAAATGCCCTTTGTACCCAAATATCTAATTCAACTGAGATATCATAAATGATATGACAGGCTCACAAGCAAGGACCGGTGAAACTGATAGAACCTCAAAAGATTTTTGAGTATCTTGGTTAGTCAGAAGGTCTTGATCTGCAACAAAAGCTTGAGGTCTAACCGATCTATTGAGCATTCCTTTGTGCTATGCCGAAGATCGAATCATACGACCCAACCTTATCTGACAATGGGAACACAATGTTATTCATCTTTAAGACAACCTTCTTCCTCACCTCACACACTACTCAATTTCGCCTTCTAGTTTTTTAAAGAATCAAACTCTTGGCGGAAATATCAACCCAAGACTTCAATAGTTTTCCATCACAACACCTAAAAACTGAAATCTGCCTGACACAAAGAAATAAAGACTCAGAGCAAATTAGGAATGTAAATGAGTCTCATCACACCCTATTTAGAAATCAAACACACTAAAATGAAGGAAGTCCAATAATTAAATCATTAATTAAAATTAAATGTGATCTATTTTTGCATTAAATTCTCTTATTTGTACTAATATATATATATATAATATGAAAAAATATAACCCACATATTTATAAGGGGAGAGCATATGAATACCGATATTTTAGCAACAAATCTAATATATTTAAACATATTTCTGTGTGCATTGATTTTCTTTAGGAAGGGAGTGTGCACGAGTTGTCTATTTCAAGAAGACGATGTATTTAACCAGTTGCATTTTTTTTACATTGATGTATTTTTCTTTTCTATTTCTATAATTTCTATAATAGAAATAGAAACAAAAGGTGCACAATCTCGACAAATTAAATTATATATACGATATATATATAATTTGTTTGCACTAATCTTAAAAAGATCTAACTGTCCAAGGGATAGAGTACAATTGATGATCCACTACAAGGAGGACGTGAGGTCCACGTGGCCAAACAAGCAACAACATGCTAATCAAGTCAATTAGGCTAAAAACGGCAGAGCCCCTTAGACCTCTTATAAACCGGGGTAAAAATGCATACCTCTTATAAATCGGGGTAAAAATGTATATTTCCATTATACTCTTAACTTGTATAAATAAGAGAAATATTTTATGAAGAATAGACACTAATTAATTCTATTTATTAGTATTCATCGCTTTACCGAGAAAATATTATGTCAGGAATTCTGATGCAATTTCATATGTGGGTGATAGTAATTAAATAGTTTCAGTAATTAGGTGTTGTTGGTAATATTATTGTGTTATTTTAATAACATTACAATACTTAGGTCATCTAGATGTAATATTTTTTCCTGTCCTACTCTCTCATAATTTGTTGTAATCCTTCAGCGTGAATCCCAGACAATTTCTGATTAAACACTGATTCTGCAGATTTATAAATTTTAGAATTTAAGCTCTCAAAATTTGGCTTAGATTCAACATTTAGGATTTACTAAACCCAGCAGCAAAATGAATTTAACGGATTTACTAAACCCGACTAACCCTAAATCCTACTTGCAGCCAAAACCTACTTCTACAAAACTGAGAGGACACGAATTTTCAACGTTAATCATCCATGGCGTTCAATATTTATATTTTCTTGATGCTAAACATATTTCTATAAAAAAAGAAAGCACACCAAAGAAGAAGACGATGGAATTTTCAGTTTTTAGGGCGGGAAAACTAAAAATGTACTAATGCTTACTAGAGCCGCATCAGAGAAGAAGAAGAAAGTGTAATCTCTCCCAAACTTCTCAGCGAATCTGAAGAGCAAAAGCTTTGCTTTGATTTGCGAGCAAAACAACACCTCCTTCGCCATCTCCAACCGGCCAAGGGGCTGCCTGAATTTTTGCTCAATAAACCTCATTTCCAATATTAAAATTAAATAAAATATCTACAAAGTTGCTTCGAAATTGAAATAAAAACGATGAGAAATAATCAAATCGAGCAAAACAGAGCAAAGCAGGACAAAACCACAGCTCAAAACCTATATCGAAATAGAAATCGGAAAAAGAAAACTTATGTTCTGAATCGAAGAAGGTCGGGGAAGGATTATATAGCCGAGGAAGATAACGCCAGGCAAACCCTAGCGGCAGATGAGGCTCTGGTTAAATGTCAAAACTACCCTAATCTTATCCTACGGCTGTAAAAGCCGGTGAATCTTAAAACATGTACTTGACAATCTAATCCTACGTCTGTAAAAGCTGATGACAAACGCTATCGTTGTATCCGTCGGACTTTTACACCTGAGAGCACAATCGGGGCCGTAGGATTAGAGTACATATCACATAATTCTTATATATTTACATTTTTAATATCCAATTTTCATATATATATATATATATATATATAATTTTTGAATCTTTAATATCACATTAAAAGATATTAAATTATTTATATTTTAAAAATAAAAATACTTCTTTTATTTTGCATAGTTTTATGACACTAAAGTGTTGTAATTGTATATATAAAATTTGTAGATGCTAGATATGTAAATACATAAAAATTAAGTGGTATGTATGTAAATTCTACCACCATACCCCAACAAAAGATTGCCCTAAACAGACTCTATATGAGAATTTTAAACAAGCTATAACATATTTCATTTATCAAACCAAGTGCTAAATTGAAAAATATGAGAATTATAAACATACACCACAAATTAATCTTTTTAAATATATAAAACCTTCGCAATATTATATGACTATGAAATTAACAAAAAATGACATTCGCACCTCATTATTTACAACAGCAATATTTCCTCTAGTACTGTACAAATGCTATGTTGAAAAACAGAAGGCGAGACTTTTGAATTTACATTCTTTACCCTTGTTTCAACCTCAGTGCATGCCCACTTTTCTATATTTGATTTATTTTTGTATGAACGCAAATATACAGCATATTTCACCCATCTCAAAGCAAACTAAATAATTTAAAACTCATCCTCACTAAAATTTGGGCTAGCATGAATTACACATGATAATGCAAGGCAATTAATTTACGGGAGATGACGAATCCTTGAACCATAAAAGCAATGAATTCAAATAATTATAAAAAGTATGGGGGCATAGTTGTAAAAGATGTACAGTGAATGACAGCTTCACCTGTTCATACTGAAGCAACAATATCCTTCAATTTTAGCCGCAGCTTGATGTTAGAGGCTTGCACAAGAATCTCTCCTTTGGAAGCCAACACTTCCAAAACCACTGCCTCCTTGCCTAATGAGGGCACAACAATTGTCTCCCCCAACTCAGGGATTCTGAGCAGCTTATCTGATAGGCAGAAAAAAGGAGCAAGGAAATGCAAATTAGCGGTAGGGTCTGCATTCGGTCGGTTTGGTTGATGGATTTGTCGAACAAATTGAACCAAACCAAATTATAGGTGAAATCAAATTGATGAAATCATAAGTAAAATGGAATTGTAATATAGTTTGGTTTTCAATTCGGCTTTGACTAGACCGAATTATGAGGGAAAAAAAAAAAGATTTCATTTCGATAATGCCAAGATCAAAATTAAATTAAAATATAAGGAGAAAATGAGAAACAAAACATATATATGATAAAAACATTTTGATTGGCTTTGATAATATTCCTTTGAAAAAATATTTGAGTTAAGAGACACATAGATGAAGCCTTTATGCACGTTTATTGAGCACTTTATAGATAACATAAAAAAATTTGAAATGGTTGGGCATAATACTTACCATGAGAAGTTCTGCCGATGTCTGGACCTTTTGTTTGCCCTACAGAACGGTTAGATGATGCAATCAAGTTGGGTTTTTGTTTTCGGTCTTCAATATTCTTCTCTACGGCAGTTTCACGATGTTGCTGCAATTTTGTATGGATAATTGAGCGTGCCACTGCAGCGAATTCTGAAACTGAGTTTGCCTTCCTTTTTATCTGAATACTGCTGTGCATAGTGATCCTTTCTCTTGCCATCAACAAATCTTGATGAAGCCGTCTAGATAACCTATATGAAAAAAAATAATGATCAAAACAGATAAAAAAAAGATAAATCAACGATGATTTTGGAAAAGGGAATAAAAGAAAAAAAAAGGATTTGGATTTAAATGCCAAAATAAAATAGGGAGATTTACATACCTACCACCCAATTTCTACGAATTAACATATCAACCACTCAAACTTCAATTTTTAGGTACATACCACCCAACTTATGCCAAAAGCATAAAAATCAGGTTGTCTGTATGTAAATATTGAAGTTTGAGAAATTGATATGTTAATACATAGGAATTGGGCGGTAGGTATGTAAAGGCCAATGAAACCTAAAATTACAGAATACTGACATGAAAATTAAATAGTGCAAAGCGAATAAGACAAACATAGAACTATACCTGAAAAAAATTTACGGGGGATCAACGAACTTACATGCGTGTAAGAGCAAAACATCCTGTAGTTGAGTAGTTTGCCCACAAATATGAACAAAATTTCCTCCCTGACACTCAGAATTCTCTCAAACGCTCCTAAGCAAGTGAAAACTCCGATGAATTGAAATGCAGGAAATAAACTAAGGGCTCCAATTTAAAAATGGAAAATTGATTCCCTATGGGGCCCACTATACTAAATGACAATTACAGGACAAAGCTGATACCGGAATCAGTATGGAAATAAGGTGAAGAGAAGCAATACAATCACTGGTAATTTTACAGGAGCTAAAAATTAAACCAAAACAACCAACTGAAATGAAATAGCAATAGAAAGTACTAGAGCATAGGGTGTAGGTTGTGTCGGTTAGGATTTGGAACTCCGGAATAATGGCAAGGAGATGGCTAGAAGATGGAAACAACAAGACAGTTGTTTCCAAGGAGTCCGGACAACAAAGAAGTAGCAAGAACAGCTGCAGGAGGGCTGTCTAGGGTGTCAAGAGTGTTTGCTTGTAACTCCTTTCAAATTTCAATAATAATGTTCGCATTTCTATTGTAGTTTGGGTTAACTTCAATATTATTTGTCATCATAGCTAGCCTAACCCTAGTTCTATCCTAGGATTTCCTAGCATCCGAACCTACCCAAGCCACCTCCACCAAAAATTTTCCTTCATAACACCCACCAACCATAGCTAAATTTTGACCTAACCCTAAATTCCCTTTGCTAATTTTCAAAATCAGCAATCCCAAAAAAAATTTTCTACACCTTCAATTAGTCTCATACACCCTCTTTTACCTCCAAATCCTAGACCGTAGCCATGCCATCAAAGAGATACAAAGAGATCTATCATCTCTAACAGAGAATTGCAGAGATGGATGATGAAACCGAGGGGGGATTACGCTCGATAGTGAGGCAGACATCCACAGTTGAAGACACCAACAAAAGCACACCTCAAGGAGTTGAGAAATTTGGTTTGGATGAGGATAGTGCCGCCTCGATGAGAAGAGCCTGAGAAAAGTAGCGCACTGCTGCAATCCCCATCAAATAATGCCACAGATTTGGGCGGACACATCGCTTGTAGCTGCCTGAAGAGCCGAGTTGCATATTTTATTGAGTAGGGTGTCGTGGAGGAATTCGGCGACGAGGAGACAACAGAGGAATAAGGTGAGGTATATCATCTTCTACTGGACGAAGGAGAGACGCTCGTGATTCGAAGGGTCCTATAGACCGAGGATATAAGGGATCCATAGTGGCTTCACCAAAATATATTCCACACTCGCTGTACTATGAACGGAAAGGCATGCAGTCTCATTGTTGATGAAGAGAGCAAAAAGAATGTGACATCTAAGCAGATGGATGAGAAATTAGGTCTCATGACTTGGAGGTACTCCTAGCCATATTCTCTAATGCAGCCAAAGGAGAACAGGGTCAGTATTGACCGGAGGTACCTAACGGAGTTTTGTTGGGGAGATGGTGGCAATTTGACCGTAGAACTCAACATCACAGATTCAGAAACATATATTCCTTCACAAAAAATGGACTAGTTATGGTGACAACATAAGAAGATAGGACTGAGACATGAGCTCCAAACAATCTATATCTTACCACCATGGCCACCACCGTTCAGAGCAGTTAAGGCTATTCTCACTTCAGATTGGGTTGAGTTGACCGTGAATTACTTTGGAAGTATTCAGCATAATAGGGGAGACACGCAGGCCCAGTTTAATTCAGTAGTAGATCCCTAGAGGAGTGAATCAATATGGAAGTATGCTTGTAAGCAGAGAAAAATCCTCATGTGCATTGGGCGGCAGTACAATCGACAGCGGGATCCAGATGCGGCTAAGTCAGCAGACAAAGAACTAGAAGCTTCGACGGATGAAATTGAAGCTCCCCCATCCCCGAGAGACTAAAGCGGGGCTTAGGGGACTGGCTAAACTGACCGATTGGTTCAGTAGAGAGTGTCCCAATACCGGTAGGAGGCTAGACCGGTCAGTCTCTCGCTCCCAGAAGGCGAGAAGTACGACCAAAGGCCTCCTAGCCCTTTTTGTTTGCTGCTTCTCCCCCCTTCCTTTTTTGGTTGCCGCCCAAAGGGGAAGCCTCTATTTGTTATTTTATTTCCTAACTATTATATATTTGTGTTTCTGCATGCTTAAGGTTAGCTTTTGATTAATTCTATATTTTAGATTTATGTCCAAGCCAGCAGTCAAGGTTGTTTTCCCTTCTAGGGTTATATTCAAAGGCAAGGAGATAGTCTGGCTGTAACTCACCCGACTGGTGATTTTCTCCAATAGTTCGACGGGTGCTCCACCTGTAAGTCGATCTCGCAGAGATATTTATCTTCCCCAACTCCCCTCCGCGGTCCCCCTTCCCTCGTTTCCCTGCTGCCATCCCTTTCCCCCACTTCCTGCTGCCTTCGCCACTCCTACAACACCCATACCCATTGCAGCGAGGCGTCCCCCCCTTTTTTCCCCTTCCGATCTGTTGTCGTGAGTCCTCTAGCCTCCCAGCCCGCTACCTCCACCCCTTCCTTGCCATCCTGCTGCAACCGCCCTCATCCCAATTGACTAATGCTGCAGCCACGCCATTCTAGGCCCTAGCTGCAACTGTAAACCCCAAAAAACCCCTCTACCCGTTGTCCCGCCGCCATTCTCCACTTTCACCATCATAAGGTGTCTTTTTAAATTGTGTGTTGTTATTTACTGATTGTCAAAATTTTTTATTCGTAATCTCTTTCAAATTTCAACAATAATATTCGCATTTCTATTGTGGTTTGGGTTAACTCCGGTATGAAGATTACTCTTAATTGGTGATATATATCAAATGATTAATTCATCAGATCTAAAATTTTCAAAAAAGGGTAAATATCTAAATATGAAGTCTGTGTTCCTTGAGAGTTCAATTCATACGCATTGATTGTTTGTTTTTAATTCCTAGTGAATTTCAAGTGTAAATGTATATCCATGATGTCGGAATATACATAAAAAAGCCGTGTTCTCTAGTATTTCAAAAGCTTGTTGGATACAACTTACCATTGCATGATTATGAATTGCTATTTCCACAAAATTTTAATGCAGTATTCCCCATTTAACTTTTTCCAAACTATCCTGCCGACCTCCATAGATGATTCCACAAGTCGCTGATCATATGTGACGACCATGCAGAAAAGCAAATATTTTCATAAAAAATTGACTTAATGTCTTGAATCCATTACTCATTTAGCTAAATGAACCATTGTGATGTGCCTAAAAAATCAAAGCAGTCTAATATGCCCTCACATTTTGCTCAAAATTGCGATGAGCTGCCACGAAAGAGAGAATTTAGGAGATGCTTGCACACACAAATATTTTAAAAAATATATGAAATTAATTATAAAATAAACTATATATATATATATATACACAAAAGTTATTCTCTCCCTTTAGACGAGATCCATGTCGCCGTTCCGCTCTGCTAGTATTTTAAAAGCTTGTTGGATACAACTTACCATTGCATGATTATGAATTGCTATTTCCACAAATTTTTAATGCAGTATTCTCCATTTAAATTTTTCCAAACTATCCTGCCAACCTCCGTAGATGATTCCACAAGTCGCTGATCATACGTGACGACCATGCATAAAGGCATATGTTTTCATAAATAGTTGACTAAATGTCCTGAATCCATTACTCATTTAGCTAAATGAACCATTGTGTGTGCCTAAAAAATCAAAGCAGTCTAAAATGCCCTCACATTTTGCTCAAAATTGTGATGACCGGCCACGAGAAAGAGAGAATTTAGGAGATGCTTGCACACACAAATATTTTAAAAATATGAAATTAATTATAAAATAAACTATATAATATACAAAAGTCATTCTCTCCCTTTAGACGAGGTCCATGTCGCCGTTCCGCTCTGCTAGGGTTCCACCCATGCGCCCCATGGCGAACCCTAGTCTTTCGCTTCGTCTGCCCACTTTCGTGTCGTCTCATCTGGCGGCAGCGCTGCGGTCGTGCTTGCGTCTCGTCTACGACAGAGCTGCTCCTGCTGCGTCTTGTGAGCCGCTCGACCGCTCAACAACTTCCTTCTGTTGTGTCTCCTCTGCGACAGAGCCGCCCGGTCTGCTTCTGCGACAGAGCCGCCCGCTGCCGCGTCTCCTCTGCGACTTCTGTGACAGAGCTGCACGCTACTGCGCCTCCTTTACAATAGAGCCGCCCGGTCTGCGACAGAGCCATTCGACACTCGTGCAGCTTCTCACTGTGCTGCAGGTTGACACTGGCTGCGTTAATGGCCTCAGGGCTTTCCTACGTCGCCGCCCTCACCGGTGATAACCCCGCCAAATCCTCTTATGCTACAGTGGTTCACAAACGCAGCTCCTCTTTTCAACTCACAGATAGTGCGGTATTCCCGCAGATTTACCATGATTCTATTGCTGGAAATGCAGATTGCAATCTCATAAAAAAAGTAAAGAAAAATGCAGGAAAGTTCCAATTAGGTTGCCTTAAGATGGAGATCATCAAGAAGGTATTTGAAGATTTCAAACTGGTTGGGGATTGACAGGTGGGTCATTTTGACGAAAGACATGTTATGATACGGCCGAGCACAAAAGATGCTTACACGAGGATTTTCTCAAAGAAATTCATCACAATTGAGGGCAAACATACGAAATTGCTCAAATGGACCCCCAATTTTGATCCCAATCAAAAACCCCCAATTGCACATATCTGGTTCTCATTACCTGAACTAAAGCTTCATTTCTTTGACCTACCTATCTTATATGCAATTAAGACTATCCTTGAAAAACCTTTGCAAGTAAACTTACAGTTCATTTCTGAAGACCCTCTATTGCAAGGATTTTGATTGAATGAGATATTACACTACCAGATGTAGAAGAAGTATGACTTAAATCTGCTCACAATGGTTATTGACAAAAAATCATTATGGAACAAAAACTATACTACTGCAAGCACTGCAAGATGTTTGGACACCCGCAGAAGAAATGTTTCAGATTGCACCCACAGTTGAGAACCAATAATCAAAAGGAACACACTATTAGTGCATCACATGTGCCTGAATGCGCTCCCAACAAATCTGATGACAACCAACCTGAGGAAGGAATTACCACAAGACAGGAGTTGGTGTCTGCCCCTGAGATTCCTTCTCCTGACCATACTACAACGGATAATGTTCGAACTGAAAATCAGGTAGCCTCGCAACTCCTATTCAGGTAGCATTAGGTGCAGAGGTACAATACACACTTCACATGTATTGGAACCTATCGCGGTGGCAACGACTGTCTTTCCTCCTACTGCGGTGCTAACATCAAATTAGATCAAGAATCACACGAGTCAGTCTTCCGATGAAGAATGACATGTTTACACTTCTCGGCGGAAGAAGAAGGCTGGGGGCTCACTCCAACTTGGAAACTTAATGGATGATACTTTGGTGACTCCTGACGATGATACGACTCTTCAAAGTTTGTTATCTATTTCAGCTCCTAAAACTAGAGGAAGAGGCAGGACTAAACTGGCTCGTCCCTAGCTACTTGTTTTCTGTATGTTTTAAATTTGTTTTACATTTTATTGAGTCTATCTATATCTTTTTTTTTTTGGAATTAGTGTCGTATGGTAGAGTGTCTCCTTTGGGCTCTTCTCATACAACATTTATGTATCATTTCCTATTTCAATAAAATCAGCCCTGGAGCTTTTCATATATATATATATATATATATATATATATATGTATATATATATATCTAAATTTCCAAAAGACATTCCTTCTACGTCAAAATACCTGGAGATTATGACAGGCAAATTACAGGAACCAAGCAATGATAAAAATTAAAATTAATCCAATTTAATAAAGGCATCAGCCAAGTAATCAACAAGCTAGCATAATTAAAAATAGAAACAACGAACTAATCACAAGCATTTCACAGGTAGATAAGACATAAAAAAACAACTCACGAGGGAACTCAAACAATGCATTGACTTTGGATACTTGAACTTAAATTGCACAGCTACAAGAATTAGGGCAAAAGAAAGGAATACCTCAGCAAAAACCTAAAGAAGGAAGTTCACTCGGCAATAGAATCAATATGATATCATGAACTTGAAAAAGAGAGAAAAAAAGAAGGAAATCATAAACAAAACATCTCCTACTATTTGTATACTGAACCTTCTACTCATGAAATTCAACTCCTAGCCTGCAGAACTAAGAAATTTTTTATATTCCTTCCAAATATACGTTATCTTCCATCTCTCACAAAAGATATGAAAATAAGTAACAAAAGACACCTGATTGTGAATTGAATCATTGATTGTACCAATATGATTAAAAATGTCATAAGCATTGTTTGCTAATTTAATCAATTACATGCAAACTTACATCAAATAATGGTCTGCCTCATCAAGATGATGCTCAAAATCTTGTTTAGAACTCTCCATATCAATTATAATCTGCACTAAAAAAAAGGAAATTAAGTAATTAATGCAACACAAGAACACATCTAAACATGCCAAGCACACCTCCATAAAGTGATCCATCATCTCCCATTAGTTGGGATAAACTTTATGAATTATTCTCCATTGATGGTTGTTGAATGTTACGTAATGAGTAAACAGTTAAGTGCTCAATTATTTTTGCCGGCATTCAAGCCATGTCATACTGACTCTTTTTTTTTTTTTCATATCATACTCCTTTCACAAAGAAAGAAAAGAGAACGAAGCAACATAACTAAGGCAGATTCAGGAATTATAGAGCAAAATATGTGCATCCTAAAGACTAAGTTCCAGGTACAAACATATGCAAGATAACCTAAAATACATGATCAAACAATTATATTAGGCTCAATAAAACAACTTGGTGTGGTAAACTTATGCATGAAAAGGTATACATTTAAAAAGACAGCAATTGTGGTATTTCTTATGTGATGTTAAGGATTTGATTGCCATGCATGTAAATACAAATATTTTGGTGGTCGATGGATAAATACATGAGAGAATTGTGGTATGCATGTAATACCCCTAAAGCTTTTCATAGTACTAGACCAATAAAAAAGATGCAGAAAAAATATATGGGTTAAGAAACCATGACAAAAGCCATTAAGTATAGGAAATGACATGGTAAGGAGAATCATAATTTAAGTACTAAGTACTTTAGTGACTTCAACCTGAAAAAAAGAGCAGCTGCCTCAGACAACTGCAGGTCCTTAGCAACAGTTCAAACAATGATAGGCGTATAAATTGTTTATAAGTTGCAAAAAAATTTTACCTCATTAATTTCAGCACTAGTTTCCCCATGTAATCTCCGAGCTGCGGACAATATAGTATATGGAAGTCCTAATTTTTCTGCAATATTAATAGCATTTGAACGACCTGACAACAAAAGCACCATTACTACTGGAAATGAAATATTTGAATAGTGAATACTAAATGTGAAACTTCCAAAGCACGAATCACGTTAAGCTATTGTATGAAAAAAAAAAAAAGTAGCACACAATTCTTATGTATATACTTGTCTCGCACCTAAACTTTCATATTTACGCATATAGCACTCAAATTTTTAATATCAATTAAAAAAAACACTATCACCACTTTTTAAAAGTGAAATACACCTTTTCGTGCATAGGTTTAAAGTACCACAGCGTCATCCATTTAAAAATGAAAGTTTAGGTGTCAGATATGTAATTACATAAGAATTGCGCTATGTATCTAAATTTTCCAGAAAAATACAGGAGATGTGTCCAGTTGTCACTAAGTTGATCTGAACTCTGCACCTTTTGTTGAGGTACTGTAGACTGTATTCCTGAGGCAGTAGTTTCGTCGCGACCTATCCGGTGCTATTATGCCAAAGCTAGTTTCCCAATTCCCGTTACTGTTTTCCCGAAATGTTATGCCTAAGCTACTTCCCCTATAACTGCGTCAGCTTCTTTTACAGGGGTTTCACACTTTCGTTGTTCAAGCCTAGTTTTTATTCTTCCTGTCTGTTGCAGCTGGAGAATTGTGGAGAAGATTGATGTATGAACTTAATGGTAATCTAGAATTGAAAGGAGAGTGTCAAACATATCTATACTAATCTAACGATGAGGAATCTATAAATAGATGATCGGGACACATTTTATTTATATCTTTGATTAAATAAAATTTATTTATCCAATTTTTAACATTGTATACGCAAGCTGAAAATCTGTTTTTTTTTATTTTTTTTATTTTTAAATTACGGTGCAAATGTCATTAACTAATTCTGGGTATGTTATCTAGACCTAAATTTCTTACCTTCGGTAAGTGATTTTCATTATCTAATTCTTCTAACATAATGTATCATTAGCTTCCTAGTGTTCCCAAAATTTGTTCAACTGGCACAACTGAAATTCTACATGTAATGATGAAATTACAATTGTTGGTTCATTTGTGCGGTTCAAACTTCCCGTTAATTTTTGTTTTCAAATTTATTTGACCATTATATTATCATTTGGATTTTACTTCTTGAAGTTATTATTTACAATAAAGAAAATAAGTTACCTACTTAATGGTTTGTGACATGTGATCCTAAGTTCTCTTGCATGTTCTAATTTATCTTATAATTCTAATTGTAATAAAAAACACTAGCACTAAATATGAGGCGTTAATTGGGTCAATAAAGATATTTAATTAATAACGTAATTTAAATGAAATTAGGTAGTATCAACTCAAGTAAACACTAAATTTTCAGGAAAAAAAATTCCTAGATTCAACGAGAGGTTGTTCGCTCAAAAAAAATAACAACCCCATTTTTAAAACTTCAAATTCATTTTTTATGAGGTATATTAGGTTTAGTGATACCGTTCTAGGGCTTCTGGAAGATGTTTGGGAATACAAAGAGGTATGAGGGAGTTGGAGGAGAGATTACATCACAGGGAAGATGGATGGCGACTGAAATTCCGGCCTGAAAGACAATAAAACAATGAACCGAAATAGATAATAGTAGTTTTTTTGCTGCAAACAACAATTTGCTGCAAGTTGGACGATGAAGGAGGTCTTTGAATATCCGGAAAAGAGCACCACATTGATCCTATCAGACTACATACACTAGGGTGTAAATGGATCAAGTCGAGCTCGAGCCACCCTCGGCTTGAGCTTAAGCTTGTGTCACAACCCGACCCGAGGCTTGAAATTAATCAAGATAGGAACGGACGGTCGGACACTAAAAATAAATTCATTGTTTTTCTATTTCTGTCATTATTAAATAAATATTCAAATATTGATGAAAGAGTCATTAAAGGAAAAATAATTAAAATTAGCAAGTAAACATTTGTACATTTCCAATTGTTGTTCTTACCTATTATATACATTTTCTCCTCTTCTATTCATCTTAATTAAAAGCTTAAATCGGAAAAAAAAATTTAAAACAACACGAGTTATCTAAAAATAACATGGGAGAAATCATACTTCTAAACTACATAACCCAATGGAAAGAACTCAATATACATGTTGGTCTTTTCATATCTCTGTAAGAAATTTTTGAATAAACTATTGCATGTATCAATGATCTTTTCTAAATAAAAATAATTTAAACTTCTATATGCATTTATTTTTATTGTAATTTTAACATTACTTTTACTTTATATTCTTTACAAACATATCTATCTGCTTGGAAGATTACCGTCAAAACAACTTAACATAGCATTGACCGATATTGCCTCATCGGCACAGTGGTTAGTGATATAATATCATAAATTTCTAAGGTGGAAAGAATAATATCTACCCCTATCCGATATTATCCCGTCAGCACAACAGTTAGTGATCTATACATCATAATTGTCAAGGATGGTAAGCTTTGTCTACTCGCCCCTGACCGATATTATCTCGTCGGCACAACAGTTAGTGAGCTAACTATCATATTTGTCTGGGGTGGTAGAAAAATATCCATAATCGTGGGTACACTAACATCCCCTACCTATACCATTAGAGGGTGAACTCCTCTGAACATGCACGTATAAACATTCATATATATTATATTTTCATTTCATCATTCAAAGCATACATTACTATCATGTGAGACCTGCATTTATTTAATAAAAATCATACAGCTCCACTAAAATCCAAGGAAATATAATAATCTAAAAGATGTACCTTCAATCTAGCACTAAAGTTCAAATAAAATTCCAATCATAATTTTGTAGTGGTAATATATAGAAATAAAATAGAAAAATGATCTTTGATGAAGCGAAAAATATAACAAGAAAATTCACACCAGAAAACAATAAAACAACGGAACACACAGATTTACGTGATTCGGCAAATTGCCTACGTGCACGGACTTGTAAAGAATTTTACTACTTGAGGAATTTACACTAGTCGATCGTCTCGACTTACAAGAAGAATCTCTCACTTCGTTGCTCTCTCTTCTTCTCTCTATTTTATTCTCTCTCTACACGGAGATACACCAAAGAAACTCTACATGGAGATACACCGAAGAAATTCTACACCGAGATACATCGAAGAAGACAAACTTACAAGAGAAATAAACTCAATTTCTCTTCTGCCAAAAGCCACCAAGAAGAAGTCAAACGAGAACAATCTTCTTCTTCTTTCTTCCTCCTTCACCGCAAGGAACTACACCTTGCACTTCTCTTCCTCTATCCCAAGGAAACCGAAGAAGAGCAGAAAAGGCTGTGTCGTGACTTAAGGAGACTGTGCTCTCTTTTGTTCGCAACTTAAAAGAGGTGGGTGGCAGCATCGTTTCGCGATCCTGAAGGTGAGAGCAGCGGTTTTCGCGAAACAGTGAAGAATCGCGACTTTTCGCGATCTCAGCGGGAGGCAGGAGCGGTTTCTATCGGGCTCCATACTTAGCAATCTCCCACTTGGAGACCGATACACAAGCTACAACATCTCCTTCCACAAATTGATATCCTCCACTGGTTGTGTCGTCATTTTCTTCAAACATGAATCCTCCACTGGCGGCGGCTTCTTTTCTTCAAACTTGAATGCTCCACCTTTGCAACTCAAAGCCCCCGTCTTCACTCCAAAAGATCAATTAAAGCTGTGCACAACTTCAGTTTCTCAAAAGTAACATCCTTAGTCAACATATCAAAAGGGGCCAAATAACATTGCACCTCCAAGCTATTTCCTGGATTACTCTTGTCTCTGCTTACAACTCTCACTACATGGGCAACATGGGCAATATCTTCAATATCTTGTCTCTGCTGAAAGCCTTTTTCAACAAGTTTGAACCTCTTACTGTCATCAAACTCAATCTTCACCTGCAGAACTGCTAATTGTTATCTTTATGGTTTCCCAACTATTAGGCAACGATGTCAACAATATCAGCGTACGTATCTCATCATCAAAATTAATTTCAACAGATGACAATTGATTTGTGATATTATTAAAATCATTCAGGTGTTGAGCAACAGAAACACCTTCCGTGATCTTCAAGTTGAATAACTTTTTTATTAGATATACGTTGTTATTCGCCGATAGCTTTTCATACATACTTGATAAGGCTGTCATGAGGTTTACAGTCGTTCTCTCCTTGACGACGTTGTATGCAATAGATCTCGATAGGGTCAATCGAATAACCCCCAGAACTTATCGATCCAAGAAATTTTATTCAGCCTCATCCATCCTTTCAGGTCTTTTCCTTAATAACGGAAGATGAAGTTTCTTCCCATAGAGATAGCCCTCTATCTGCATCATCCAATAACCAAAATCCATGTCATCAAATTTCTCGATCCCTAAAATCTTCACTTCATCTGCAATCATCATTCTTTCTCAGATTCAAACAAAGCTCGGATACCAGTTATTGCGAGATATATATATAGAAATAAAATAAGAGAACTATCTTTGATGAAGCAAAAAATAGAACGAGAAAATTCACATCAGAAAACAGTAACACAGCAGAACACACAGATTTACGTGGTTCGGCAAATTGTCTACGTCCACGGAGTTGTAGAGTATTTTATTACTTGAGAAATTTATATCAGTCGATTGTCTCGACTTACAAGAAAAATCTCTCATTTCGTTGTTCTCTCTTCTTCTCTCTGCTCTTCTCTCTCTACATCTAGATATACTGAAGAAATTCTATATCGAGATACACCGAAGAAGACAAACTTACAAGAGAAATAAACTCAATTTCTCTTCTGCTACAAACCACCAAGAATAAGTCAAGCGAGAACAATATTCTTCTTCATCTTTCTTCTTCCTTCACCGCAAGGAACTACACCTCGCACTTCTCTTCCTCTATCCTAAGGAAACCGAAGAAGAGCACAAAAGGCTGTGTCGTGACTTAAGGAGAATCGTGCTCTTCTGTTCGCAACTTTAAAGAGGTGGGGCGGCGTTGTTTCGCGATCCTAGAGGCGGGAGCAACGGTTTTCGTGAGATAGTGAAGAATCACG